CCGTCGTCATAGCCGCTTGGAAAGTGGCCGGGGCATTCGTAAGGCCAAATGGCATGACCAGCCATTCAAAATGCCCATACCATGTCTTGAACGCGGTCTTGTAGCGATCCTCCTTGCGAATCTCGAGTTGGTGGTACCCTGACTTGAGATCCAGCTTAGAGAAGAACTGGGCGCCGCCCAATCGCTCGAGAAGGTCGTCGATGTGTGGGAGAGGGCCGGCGTTCCTGATCGTCTGCGCGTTGAGCTTGCGATAATTGATGCACAACCGGAGGTCCTTGTTCTTCTTCCGGACGAAGAGAACAGGAGCACCGTATGGCAATGAGCAAGGCCGAATCCAGCCTTTCTCTAGAAGGTCGTCGAGTTGTGCCCGAAGCACACTTAACTCTTCTTCGCTCATTCGGTAGATGCAVCCGCGCGGAGGTACGGCCCCGTCCTCGAGGATGATCTCGTGGCGGGTGGGTCGATCCGGTACTACTCCATGTGGGCCTTCGAACACGTCGCTGTAGGCGTCGAGAAGCTCGGTGATGTGTGGATCCGAAGGTGAGTCCGTCGATGAAGCGTCATGTGGCGGGAGGGCGTGGAGAAAACACACCCCCATCTCCTCGATGTCGTCTCTGATGATGGAAACTCGCATGCTTGCGGCGGATACCACGTGGCAACTGATCGAAGGATGAGGAAGAGGCACTGTGCATGGAACTAATACTCCGTTCCGATCACGAACGTGAACATTGCGGTTGAAGAAGTTCACCGGGTGATCCTCGCTTCGCAGCCATGACATGCCCAAGATCATGTCGAATTTGGTGTCCAGAATGTCAAAGGACACCGCCTCACTTGCGTGAGGGGCAAAGTACACTGGGACGGCGTCAATGCASCGGTCGATGGACTTGTKCGTATGACCGTCTGCCAGRGTGACTTGCGTAGGCTGGGACTTCCTCCRGACRCGTGGGCCAAGGCCGACGCGTACCATGAAGTCCTGGCTGATGTAGTTGCGAGATGCTCCGCAATCGATCAAGGCACTGCAGGTCGCCTCTCCGATCTGAATGCGTACGTATAGCAATGGTGCGTCGATGTCGTCGTACTGTTGCATCTTGAACTTGTGGTCGATCTTCGCGATGAAAACGTGAAGGTCGACAACCTCTGCTCCGGCGTCCATCAACGGAGCTGGTACTGCAGTGTGCAAGTAGTCCTGCAATTGTGCCATAAGCACGTTGCAATGCGGTTTCGGCAATCGTCCGGTCGAGGGAACGGGCATCCACTGGAAGTCCGTGAACATCAATGGGTCGAGTTCTTCAATTTCAAGTATTGACCATGACGTCGAATCCCCGGCGATAGATTGCGGCGAAGCTGCCAAATCGGTTGCCGATGGTGATGAAACCGTGCATGCGGTGGACTGTTGCACGTGGAGTGGTTGGTCCAGCGGTGGAACCACGTGGACAGCATAGTCCTCGTAAGTGTACCGAGGACTTGCGACGTTCGCATCCTCCCCAGATGTGCAGGAGGCCGCTAGCAAGGCGGCCGAATCTGGCGGAGTCGAAGGTGGAGTCGCCTCACCTTCCGCGGAGCTCAGTTTCCCGAGTTGAGGCGGGGTCGCACATCCTCCTTGCCCTGATCTTGGCACAGGGAGGTCTTGTGCTTGGTGCTCTTGCACCAATAGCAGCTGCCATAGCGGCCGCGGACCTTGTACTCCGCCTCGGTCAAGCCAAACTTGACCCATGGAAACTGTCCTGGTTGTCCATTTTCGGCCTGCGATGCGGATTTCGCCTTCCCATTGTTGCGGGACTTGTTGGTGCTTCGCGGCTGGACAGCAGCCACCTGATCTCCGTCACTTGATGCTGGAGTGGCTGTTGGGTTATCTCCACTGTCCCTGTGGACTGCAGCGAAGTGCTGCTGTCGCGGACCAGTTCGTACCTTCTCCACATAGGTCGGCTGCCATGATGTTGATTTCTCGTGTGCAGCTGACCTGTTGGTCTTGATGATCTCCCTCGCTTTGTCAATGATCTCCGCGAAGGTTGAGTACTGCTCGCGATCACCAAGAGCCTGGCTCAATGCAGCACAGGACCTGTTGTAGAACTCACGGCGTAGATGCTCGAATGGTAARTTCAGATTGGGCACAACCGCAATCTTCTGCCACTCCGTGTTGCTGTATTGCCCTGTGACATGGTGAACAGTCGGTTGATGGCGAGTGCTGGCGCGTCGTCGACGATGAACCGCTTCTTCCACAGCCGTGTCAGTTCCTCCCATGTGATTACGTCCTTCAAGTCTGGTACGTCGACGCCGTGGGAGGTTGCCAGGTGGCTCAACCAGGTCTGGCATCCGCCCTTTGAGTTCAAGAACAGGGCACCGATGTACGCATGCTTGGCTACGGGCAGAATCCTGAGTTGCGTTGTGAATGCTTCCCACCAGAGGACCGGCTGCGTGTAGTCGTCGAACCTCTCTAGATTGAAGGTTGACATCTTATACATCTTCGGATTGCCATCCGCGTTCGTCGTTTGCAGCTGCTGGACCTCGGTCTTCAATGTATGCAGCTGACTGCTGATGGTGGTGGTCGGCGCAGCGAATGTGCTGATGTCGCCGAGCATTGCCACTACGTGGTCAACGCGGTCCTCCAGTTGGCGGCTAGAGGGTGCACTGCTGGAAGCCCCAGCAGCTGGTCCTGGTACAGCCTGTTCCAGGTCCAGCAATCGGGCGTTAAGTGCCCGAGTTGCATCCTCGTGGCTCTACACCATGCGGCGGAGCTGTGCCAACTTCTGATGCTGTTGCGTAAGGTCCTGGTACTGTCTCTCCAAGTCTGACCGTTGGTAGTTGCAAGCATACAACAACCGCGTCACGAGTTTGGAGAGGAACTCCGTGTGCTTCTCTTCCGGTGTTGCCTCGTCGCCGTTTGGTTCAAAATGCCAGTACTTGAGTCTGTCGATGTTGTTGGCTTCATGCCGCTGCAGCAGATCCTGGGCTTCCTTGCGGCGAGCCTGGGCATCTGCGTCTGCATCGGCCTGTAGCCGCATCTGTTCTGCTTCAGCTGCTTCTTCAGCCTGTACGCGGGCAGCCTCGGCTGCCAGCAGGTGTTGTTCCTCAGCCTCAATCTGAGCATGGAAACTCTGCTTGTAGGCGGCAAGGGACTCGTTGGGCAGTTGCCCTGGCAGGCCCGTCATGCTGCTGACGTGGCACTTTGTCTGACGGGGCACTGTGTCTGACGTGGCACTGCTGATGTGGCACTGCTTATGTGGCACTGTGTCTGACGTGGCAAGCTGATGTGGCACTGCTTACGTGGCATTGTGTCTGACGTGGCACTTATACCTGGCACTGCTGATCTGGCACGCTGACATGGCACTACTGACGTGGCACTGCTGACGTGGCACTGTGACCTGGCACTATGACGTGGCACTGCTGACGTGGCACTGCTGACGTGGCACTGCTGATCTGGCACTGTGACGTGGCGCTGCTGACGTGGCACTGTACCGAACGGGGATGCATGCAGGGGGTGGGTGGGAGGGAAAA